GGCTTCAGGTAAATGTTGCGCCATATTCAAGCTCTGTGCCCTAGGGGAAATCACCCACCCATTCACGAGAAAATATGTCATCCCTTAAAATGGGGCCAAAATCTGCCTTACAGGCGGAAGTGAGAGAATAGGCTGGGCGGATCGAATCGGGAACTGCTTGGATAGTTCTAGGAACATACGACGTCCGCGCTGGGTCGGCCGGTCCCCCAGAGGGCGGCGGGGTTGGCGGACGCGCGCCGTGCGCCGGCAGTGCGCGCGGGGACGCGGAGACGCGGAGACGCGGCGAGCGCGGGGGAGGGGCGGCGGGCCTGTGAGTGCACTCCCGGCGGTGAGACGCCGGTACCCCGGCCCGGCCCTCGTCCTGGAGCCTGTGGGCCCCTCTGGACTCTCCAGCCACGTGTCTGGACTGGGACCGAAGACGGGCCCCGGCCTCCTGTCTTCGCCCAAAGGCTGGGCCTGAACCTCGGGCCGAGGGAGCCCCGACGGGCTGATGCCGAGTCTCCCCTCGGTGCTGTCGGCGTGGGGGCGGGGGGCGGGGTGGAGAACACTCGGTAGCACCGCCCGGCGCCCTTTAGGGCTGGAGCAGCCCCGGTCTCCAGGCCGCTAAACGCCGTTTTGGACAACCCCAAACCCGCCCCCACAGGTTTCCAAACGGTGGCGGCTCTCCTCCCCAAGCACAGGCATCAGGGCTTCCTGGGTTGACATTCGGCTGCCCCTGGGCACCTCAGAGCGTCCTAACCTATAAGCTTTACACTTACCTTGCAGGGTAATCGTGAGGCTTAGAAATGACATGAGCAGGGCCTAATGCGGAGCTGGCACATTCCTCAAGTCACTGGTTAAAAGAAAGAAAACGCTGCTCAAGGTCCTTGTCGGAGACGGTAAGGCCGACTTTATTCCGGGGGCCTGCGAAGGTGGGCTCTGCAGGAACAGACGGACTGCAGCTGGGCCAAGTGGAGGTTTATAGTCAAGGAGTAGGTGAGGGTCAGTGGATGGAAACTTCTAAAGGAAACATCTGGCTCAAGGTGGGCTTCTCACTGAGCCGACTCGACAGGAGTTCTGCGGAAGGCGGACTGGGGTGAATCATTTACCAAGAGTGGTCAGCTACCAGGGGAGGGGAATATAGACTTGGATCGGATACCAGAGCTGGAGGATTTTCCCTAAACTGGACCCAGCAAGACTCTTGATAAAACTGGACCAGAATGTCCAAGGACAGAGCACAAGGGCCCGGCCTAGAGGACTCGGGCGCTAGCCGGTTTGGCGCAGTGGGTAGAGCACCGGCTTGTGGACTGTAGGGTCCTGGGTTTGATTCCCGTCAAGGGCAGGTACCTTGGTTACAGGCTCCATCCAAGTGTTTATTGAGCACATGATATATGTCACTGTAGTATACTGGTTACTGCATGACTATATGAGTGAACTATTTTTACTTTGCTCTTTTTTGTTCTCCTGAGAAGATTTTTTAAGGATGATTTGGTGATATGGAATGACTTGTTTGGGTGAAGTGGTAGGGATGAGGACATAGGTTTTTATATGTCAAGGAAAAAGCTGCCTCCAAAAGCTAGAGCGTTGTATTGATCTCTGATTAAGCCAGATACTCCAGTGACTGGGTGTCTATTGGTTGTTGTGGTTAGTGTTAGGGAGAATGATGACCTTTAGGTCCTTCATAACGTTTAAGGATTGACTGAGTAATCAATCCAGTATCAGGATTACATGCAAGAAAGTTAACTAGCTATAGCGTTTACTTTGCCATTTAATATTTCTCCTTTTACCATCTTCTAAATTTTGATACCATTCACCATAATATTACTAGGTTCAAGTCTATTTTAGGAATGCTTTCGAGGTAGTTGGCATTTATTCTAAAATTTTTTAAAGCCCAAGGTTGAAAATTTCAGGTGTGACAGGTTTGTTTGTTTTTTAAATATAAATTCCCATGGCACTCAAGAGAGGTCACTTGTAAATTTCATTGCACCTTTTGGGGAAGAGTGAGTTTGCTCTGTTCAACCTCATATTTATTATGGAAGCATCTGATCATCTCAGCATTAGCCTTTATTTCTAGGGCATTGATGTCTTTGTTCAGCTTCATTTTCCCGCCTTCTGACATGTGGGTGCAGATAGAGAAGTGTTTTGCAGAAGAGCTGTTTACCTGGAAACGCACAGTGAAGAAGCTTCATGTGGTGCACTTCATTTTTCTACTTGGGCTGGACATTTGAAGACCGAGAGGGAATCTTATAAAATGATCAGGGTGATGGTGACAGTTTAGATAAGTATTAGTGGTTTACTTTGTGGCTTCACGTTTACAATCTTGCAAAATAAAGTAGCGTATCCATCGACTTGAAAAGATCCGTGGTTGACTCCTTGGCTTCTCGGATAGAGCATGTGAATTTGTTCTTTCTGAAAAACGTGACCCTTTTTTTCTCTAGAGCACTGGGTCTCACTCCCTCGCGTGATCCTGTGGGAGGCTCTGTGAAGACCTGGTTCTCCCCGGAGACAACTTCATCCCAGAAGAACTTCACCTAGAAGGACGTGGCAGGCCAGATGATGCCTGTGGAGCTGGGGCAGGCCCTCGTCCTGCTGCCACCGCTGGCAAAGGCAGAGGACTCCCTGGTCTCTGGACCAGATGCTGCCCTTCGAGGGGAGCCCTCCAGCCCTGAGGCTGCACGCCAGCTTTTCAGGCAGTTTCGTTACCAGGTGATGTCTGGGCCCCAGGAAACCCTGAGACAACTTCGGAAGCTCTGTTTCCAGTGGCTGCAGCCAGAGGTTCACACCAAGGAGCAGATCCTGGAGATCCTCATGTTGGAGCAGTTCCTGACCATTCTGCCCGGGGAGATTCAGATGTGGGTGCGGAAACAGTGTCCCGGCAGCGGAGAGGAGGCAGTGACCCTGGTGGAAAGCTTGAAGGGAGACCCCCAGAGGCTGTGGCAGTGGGTAAGCAGAGGACACTATGATCTGTTAGTGAAGCACGGCTCCTCTGGGGTCTTATCAGGTGTGCAGTCTTTTCTGATACCAAATATGTGGAATTTTCTACACTAACAACCAATTCTCCAATTCAATTCAGTTCTGACACCGAATATCGGGGTTACTCAGATCCCACAGGGTAAGGGCCAGTCTCTAAGACTGTGCCCATTTCAGACACCAGTTACAAGTCTCAAGGGCCACCCATACTTATAACCAACTGGCTAAAATTTGGAGGTTCCCCAAACACTGTCCTCATATAATTTGCTAGAACGAATCATAGAACTCAGGAAAACACGTTACTTATATTTACCAGTTTATTATGAAGGATATGATGCAGGAACAGGCAGGTGGAGGAGATGGGGTCACCCAGAGCTCCCATGCCCTCTCCAGGCCACCAGCTTCTGTGTGTTCACCAACTCAGAAGCACCCTGAACCCCATAGTTTAGGTGTTTTTATGGAGGTTTCAGTACTTAGGCGTGATTGATTTATCGATGGCCACTGGTGATTGAAAATTTCCAGCCCCTCTCCCCTTCCCCAGAGGTTGCGGGGTGAGGCTGAAAGTTCCAACCATCTAATCACCTGGTTGCTTCCTCTGGTGACCAGCCTCCATCCTGAAGCTATCTCAGGGTCCACCAAGAATCACCTTATTAGCAGAAACTCTGGTGTGGTTGAAAGGGGCTCATTATAAATAACAAAAGCTGCTCCTGTCACCTCCGTCCTTCAGGTAATTCCAAGGGTTTTAGGAGCTCTGTGCCAGGAACCAGGGACAAAGAACAAATATGTATTGCTTACTATGCCACATCAGTGTATCCCCGTACCGCACCTAATTCTTAAGATTCCCTGTGACTCTCAACACTTTTTAGCCATTAGAGATTGAAGATAAAGCCTCCCATCACATTCCATCTTTTTTTTTCTTCTTTTTCTTTAATCCTCACCCAAGGATATTTTTCCACTGATTTTTAGAGAGAGTGGAAGAGAGAGGGAAAGACAGAGAGAAATATCGCTGTGAGAGAAACACATCAATTGGTTGCCTCTTGCATGTGCCTTGACCAGGGCTGGGGCCCAGGAGGAGCCTGCAACCGAGGTACGTTCTCTTGACCGGAATCGGACCCAAGGACCCTTTGGTCCGCAGGCCGACGCTCTATCCAACGAGCCAAACCGGCTAGGGCCCATTCCATCTTTACACTACGGTGTCGGGTGAATTTCCCGCCAAAATATAAGATGGCGCGGGCAATTATTTAGGTTTCCCGCGCAAAATCAGAGTTAGTTTAATATCTTTTGAAGTATGGGTTCGATTGAAATGAAATTTTCGTTCGCATACACAGGTAGGTATCTTTGTGAACGGCAAACAAACAAATATTTGGTAATACGCAGTTACAATCGGCCCGAGTTTACACGTTTCCCGCACTCCACCGCAAATCTATATGAACTGAGTTAAGACGGCTCCCGCGGAGTACGCGCAATTCACGCGAGCCGACTTAACTCGTTTCCCGCAACCCAAGTGTTTAGACTAGAACATTTGGGAAGTTGTTCAAAAGCCGCCTGAGTTTTAAGTGGTGGAGACTACCCAGTAGAGATGCAATATTAGTGGTAAGTCTCGGAAGTCTCCAGCCTGGTTCAGACCTCAGCTTTGGCCTCTCAGGATGTTTCCCTCACTGGTTCCTGTTTTTCTCTCGCCTCTCTCCATGTCCCTAAAGGCTGTCATGGTCTGTTATAGAAGCTTTCAGAAACTCTCCTCTGCATCTTTCAGTAATTAGTCCTGTGTGGTCTCCAGATCAGCATCCAGGTTCTAGGACAGGACATCTTACCCGAGAAGGAGGAGTCTGCAGGCTGCCAAGTGGGGGAAGTGGAGTCTCTTCTTGAAGTGACACCTCAGGAGCTGGGACTTGGGAATTCACCCTCTGGGCCCGGGGAGCCACTGAGCCACATGGTGAAGGAGGAGTCTGAAGCGGAACAAGAGCTAGGTGGGCAGTTACTCAGGTGGTGTGTGTGCACTCTTGGAGAAACTGGTGGCCTACGAGTGGGCGGGTTGAAAATACAGTGGGGCCTTGACTTACGAGTTTAATTCGTTCCGTGACGGAGCTCGTAACTCAAATTACTCGTATGTCAAATCATTGTGACGTTCGCTGCGCCAACTAGCGGTGGGGTATCTGAAGCTGGCTCATAACCCGAATTTTAGCTCGCAACTCAAAGCAAAAAATCGGCCGAGAGACGGCTCGTATCTCCAAAAACTCGTTAGTCGGGACACTCGTAAGTCAAGGCCCCACTGTAATAATGCTGCCCAGATGGGGTTATCTCTAAAAAGTTCAAAAGCAGGGTAGTCGTACTTCAACTATGCTGATTTGGATATTCGAAGCCTGTAATTAATTTAAACACTGTATGACTGGGCTAGACCTTTTGGGTTTTGGTTTTGAGGAAGGAGGTGGGAGAAAATATGGGTGAGCTTGTTTGGAAGGTTGGAGGGAGTTGCAGTTTGTTAGGGAGGTCCCTCCCATCTCATACTATTTGGTTCTCCACCAAGTTGTTCACCGAAAAAATGTCTTGGCTGTGAACAAAAACTTCAGTTGTTGATCTGACAACCCTTTCATGCTGTACCTCAGCATGACAAAAAGCGTCTCAGGCAATAAACAAAGGAGTAATGCTTTTGTTGCCGCAGAAATCGAGAATTAGTGCAATTTTAAAATATAAAGAGGCCACCAAGAGTGCTAATGTTGCAAAGTGTGTGAAAGTGCTCACAAAACAACAATCACAGGTAAATGAATAGGCAGAAAAACTGCTTTTGATGGGCTAAACAAAAGCAGTTAGCTGGTGATAGCATTTTTGAGACTGTGATATATGAAAAATTCTTTGTTTAAGGCTATAGGGTATGGTTCGGTAAATTTAAGAAGTGTGTATTTATAGATTAAACAGTACATTAGACATTCACTGTATATAAGAAAGGTTAAAATAGGGAATCATTTGGGGGTCTGGAACAGATTAATTCACTTTACATTATTTTTTTTAGTATATATTTTTTATTGATTTCAGAGAGGAAGGGAGAGGAAGAGAGAGAGATAGAACCATCAATGATGACAGAATCATTGATCGGCTGCCTCCTGCAGGCCCCACATGGGACTGAGACCGAAACCTGGGCATGTGCCTTGACTGGGAATGGAACCGTGACTTCCTGGTTCATAGGTCAATGCTCAACCATTGAGCCATGCTGGCTGGGCCAATTTACATTATTTCTAATGGGGAAAAATGATTCAGTTTTGTAATTGCTTTTTTTTTAAAGTTTTATTTATTTTTAATTGACTTTTAGAGAGAGGAAGGGAGGAGAGAGAAACACCAATGTGAGAGTGAAACATGGATTGGCTGCCTCCTGCATTCCGCCCCCCCCCCTCCCCCCCCAGAGGGATCAAACTGCAACTTGGGCATGTGCCCTGACCCGGAATCAAATTGGCAGCCCTTTGGTGCATGGAACGATGCCCTACCAACTGAGCCACACCAGCCAGGGCACAAATGGCTTCTTGAGCAGCCTTCTGGAACGAATTAAGTTTGAGAACCGAGGTTCTACTGTACAGTTCCTGAAGGTATAAATGGTGAAACAGGTGTTAGTTCTAATTTGTGGAGATTTTTACCTGTACCCTCTGGGGACTGATTGAGGACATCAGATTCTTGACACTTCCTGTTTCTCACTTCGGCAGTGGCTGCTTCCCAGCTTCCTGCCCAGCCTGAGGAGAGGCTCATCGGAGACCAGGACTTCGGAACCTCACTTCTCCACACGGCACCTCAGGTGAGCTGGGTGGCTCTGCCTCTCTCTCTGGAAACCAGGCTTTGAGGATGTGTCAGTAGGAGGAGGAGTGAAAGGGGGAGGAGACTCAAAAGTGGAGCGGAAGGAAGGCCTAGCAAGGATAACAAGAATAATATCTGTGGAATGAGACCCGAGTTCCAGTTCTTCTTAAGACAGAATGTTTCCTCATTGTCATCTTGAGCAATGGAATCTGGAAGCAGTTGCTCTGAAGAGGCAATCTTGTCTCTCCTTTTTTATTATCTTTGAGTTATGCTGAGAAAATACTATCTCCTTTCCTATTTAACCCTCTCACATAGAGTCAGTTTGAGATTTTGAATGGTTATATCTAATGTGGGACAGGTTAACCTCCCCTCCCCAACTCTATGGAGGAGTAACTGCCAAACAATGAACTGCACATGTTTAGAGTGTAGAGTTTGGTAAGTTTTTTGATGTACATACATATATATATACACACACACAAAAATGAAACCATGACCATAAACAAGATAATAAGCAAATCTGTCACCACCAGAGGTTCCCTTTTCCTCTCTCCTACCCCTCCACATTCCCCCAGTTCTGAGGCAACTACTGATCTGTTTTCTGTTACCATACATTAGTTTGCATTTTCTAGAATTTGGTATAAAATAGAATCATGCCATATGTACTCTTATCTTTGTTCTACATATAATGCATCTTTCATGGTTGGTTCTTTTAATATTTTCTCACTGGTTTTAAACAATTTGACTGTGATAAGCCTTAGAATAATATTCTTTGTGTTTCTTGTGCTTGAATTCATTAAACTTGGGTCTGTGGGTTTATAGTTTTCATCAAAGTTTGAACATTTTTAGCCATTCTTTCTTTTTAAAAATATATTTTTATGGATTTCAGAGAGAAAGGGAGAAGGAGAGAGAGATAGAAACATCAGTGATGAGTGAGAATCATTGATTAGCTGCTTCCTGCACGCCCCATTCTGGGGATCAAGCCCGAAACCTGGGCATGTACCCCTGACTGGAGTCAAACCTGGGACCCTTTAGTCTGTAGGCTGATGCTCTATCTACTGAACCAAACCAGCTAGGGCATTGGCCATTATTTCTTTAATTGTTTTTATCTGTCTTCCTTTTTTTCTCCTTTGAGGCCTCTGAGAATTATATACATGTGGCTCTTTCTTTTCTAATTTCTGTGTTTTATTTTGGATAGTTTCTATCTTAATGTCTTCAAGTTCATTAATCTTTTCTTCTTTGGTGTCTAATCTGCTGTTAACCCCATCCGTTGTATTTTTAATCTCATGTATTTTTAATCTCTAGAGGTTTGAATTGGGGCTTTATTGTATCTTCTATGTATATACTTAAAATGCTATGTATATACTTAAAATGTTCAATCTTTCCTCCACCTACATGAACATATGGTTATAACATCTGTATTAATGTCCTTATCTGCTAATTTTTCACCTGGGTTTGTTCATTATGAGTGGTGTTTCCCTGCTTCTTTGTATGCCCAGTGATCTTTGATCGGATGTCAATCGTGAATTTGACCTTGCTGGGGGCTGGATATTTTTGCATTCCTATAACTGTCTCTGAGCTCTGCTCTGGGATACAGTTAGGTTATTTGGACACAGTTTGTTAGATGGCATCAGAGAAGCTTTTAGTGTAGGGCTCATTTTTCCCCACTACTGAGGCAATACCCTTCTAGAATGCTACCTGAAGCTCCTTGATGGACAGGGTTTCCCACTGCAGTTCTGGAAATGTGAGGCATTCCCAGCACTTCAAGGTCTGAGGATTGTTCCCTCTGTTGCTTTTATGGGGTTCTTTTCTGTACTTGAGGGGTTCCTCTGCAGATCTCTGGGGCTCTCCTAGTGCAGCTCCCCCATCTGGGTCTTCTGCCTTGCTGACTCTATACTCCTTTGAGCTCCTGCTCAGCTCAGGGAACCACCTGCTCTGCCCGGTTCCCCTCTCTGCTGCTCTGGATGTTCTATAGGCAATAAGTGTGGGCAACTGTGGGGCTCACCTAATTCATTTTCCACTTTGAGAGGCCTCTGTTCTGCTCTGTCTAATGTGCACTATCCGAAAACTCTTTAATCAGATAGTTCGTCTCCTTTTTAAGTTGTTTCAGTCACAAAGGTAAATCCAGTCCCTATTACTTCATTTTGGCTGTAAACAGAAGTCTCTGGGACTGGTTCATCTTGATAATGTAGTTAAAAATTCTGAAAAGTTGCATTTCATTAAAATAAAGTTTTCCAGGAACCTATTCACCTTAATCAAAACTTTCATTGTTTCAAACCCTTGGGATTTGCCTCGTGAAGTAATACAGAGTGCAGGTGAAGGTAGGGAAGCCGATAGGTGATGCTTAAAGTGGGGCTGGAGATCGGGCCTGAGCTCCAGCTTGCCAGGCTCCACGATGTGAAAACTGGATGCCAGCTTTGCAGTTCACCCTGGGAAAGGGATGCGGAGGGCGCAGGGAAGGGATATATCTTTTCAGTTATTCAAGGGTGCCTTCTTGCGTTCAAGGTACCCAGAAACCAAATTTTTAGGCAGGAGAATGCTTGGTTTAAAAAAAAAAAATAGGGTATTCTCTCAGATATTTCAAGCAGACTTGGAGGATTATTATTTATTCTATAGTAAGTACAGTATATTCCTATGAAAAGTATATACATTTTGACTAGTAGAATTAAGCATTAACTCTACATAATGACATTAACCATGACCTTTCCTGGATAGTTTAATGTCAAAAGATTTAAAATGCTCATCAGCAGCACCCTGTGTGTGTGTGTGTGTGTGTATTAAATTCCTTATATGTAGCAGATAACTGATTAACAACCACTTAACCTAAACAAATAAGTTATCCCTACCCAATCCTAATATCCCTCCCCCAAACTAACAACAACTATTTGCATCAGAAGGACCTTGATATTTAATGGAATCCTTTGTAAGTGAAGGGGTCTTTTTATTTTTTAAGTATATTTTTATTGATTTCAGAGAGGAAAGGAGAGTGAGAGAGAAATAGAAGCATCAATGATGAGAGAGAGCCACCGATTGGCTGCCTCCTGTATACCCCCCAACTGGGGATTGAGCCCGCAACCTGGGCATGTGCCCTGACCGGGAATTGAGCCATGAGCTCCTGGTTCACAGGTTGAAGCTCAACCACTGAGCCAAGCCGGCAGGGCAGTGAAGGGTTTTTTAAATATAGATAATCACGTTTCCTAATCTCTTTCATCAGTTAGGAACTTAGTGAATAATGCCAGAATAACAAAGGAGTGTCCCTACTCAGTGGTACTTCGTATTAGAAACTGTGACTGAGTTAGAACCTCACGTGCACTTGGGGATACATTTACTCAGAGTCCTGTGTTTTCAAATTTTGGGAAAGGAACACAGTACAAAGAACTTTGTGCAAGTCAGTTGTGGTAATGTCTTAACTCACCAGATGGTGCTGTTTCCACACAAAATGACGTATTTCTCCATCAAATCTTTTACTCCCACCCTTCCAGAATAGGAATTTAGATTTTTCTTCCTCTTTTAAAAATGAGAAAAAGCAAGGGTGAGTGTAGTTGGTGTTTTGCCTCCTTTTTTTTTTTTTTTTTTTAATCTTCATTCGAGGATATGTTTATTGATTTTTTTGTTTGTTTTTAGAGAGGGAAGGGGAGACGGAGGGAGGGAGGAAGGGAGCAAGGGTCTGTGTTCTCACTGAAGACTCAGAGCTCTTGTAGTCAGCAATGTTTGTTCAAGTTGGTTATTTTTAGGACATTGTTAAGGTAGCTTCATTCACAGAAGATTTACAAAGTAAGCTGCTAACAATTTCAACTTTAAGAAGCAGTTATTAAAAATATGGTTATAGTTAACAATTAAATATATTTTTTTCTTTTTCTTTTTTTTTAAATTTTGTTTTATTGCTTAAAGTATTACAAAGAGTATTACATATGTCTCCTCCCCCCCCCCCCCCCCCCACCTTGACATTCCCCTGGCTTCCCCTACCCCCCAGTGCCTTGTAACAATTAAATATATTAAGGTCACTTTTTACCTTTTTATTTTTTTCACCCTAAAAAAGTCAACTCCTTTCCCTCCCTCCCTTCTTCCCTCCTTTCCTTCCTTCCCTCCTTCCCCCCTTTGCCTCCCACCCCTTAGTACCTGCTAGTTAAAAGAGTTTTTGGTGTTCCATTACTTTTCAGCCATTTCCACTTCACTTTGATGTATATTATTTGTAATAGGAAGATAACTTCATCTTCTCATTCTTCTCTTCTTTTCTGCTCCCTATAACCTAGCTGGCTTTTCATGACAATAATCCATGGCTATCAACTTTGGGGTTCCTGAAAGTGAACAGAATCTCTTAATTCTCTCTGCAAACCCTGGTGTTAGTCTGGGAGATTGAGTATCCCATAGATTGCATATGATAGTAATAACAATATATATATCATTTACTGAGGACCTGTTTGCTAAGAGCTGTATATTTCACCTAGACTGTATGTGTTGAGTGACTACTCTGTCCTGGACAGGGGCTTGAGGACTGGAAGAGAACAGTGGAGAGTCCTTTTCTCACTGTGCTATGTGCTAGTGGAGCCAATTATTGATTAAATACTTTTATATGTGTGTGTATAGAAAAGATTGGGTATTCTGACATATGCATAATGTACATATACATAACTAATAAACTGATGAGTGCTAGGAATGAAGAGTACAGTGTGCTCAGATGATACTTGCACTATTTCTGTTAAGCCTCCCAATAATTTTCGAGTTCAGTACTATCATTAGGTGAGGACTTGAGGCCCAGAAAGGTTTAGTCACTTGCTCAAGATCACACAGCTAGGAAGTGGCAGAACTGGGACTTGAAACCCAGTATGTTTGACTCCAAAGACTTTGCTGTAAATCACTCTGCTATACAATCTGTTTTCTTGGAGGGGAGATTGAAATTTGAATTAATGAAAGTAGACCCTATTTAGATGGCATTCCCAGTTTTGAGTCTTTAAGTCCATAGCCTAAGAAAGACATGTTTTAGGGGTAATTTAAGGGCTCCTTGCTCTAGACAACTCATCGATTTCCCACTCACTGGAAGGAAACCTGATTTGATGTTAGACCAGCCGTGGGCAAACTACGGCCCGTTTGAAATGAATAAAACTAAAAAAAAAAAAAAAAGACCGTACCCTTTTATGTAATGATGTTTACTTTGAATTTATATTAGTTCACACAAACACTCCATCTATGCTTTTGTTCCGGCCCTCCGGTCCAGTTTAAGAACCCATTGTGGCCCTCGAGTCAAAAAGTTTGCCCACCCCTGTGTTAGACCCTAAATGCAGAACTGTCAGAGGGCCCAGATGTGTGTGGCTGCAGCATCTCCCTCTGCTCTGAATCCACTAGTCTCTTTCTCACTGAGGTGTACAGCTAAGTTGACTTCATTTTGCTTCTTCCCACTTTTTTGCTGATTTACAGTTGCTTTTCCCAACAAATACCTTTTTAATTTTTCTCTTTTCCCTCTTGAATTTCCAGATTTTAATGAAATATTGGGAAAATCAGGCTCCTACTGTTCAAAGATCTCTACGTAGGCAGTGGAAGAGTTAAAGCAAAGGACTGTGTAGAAAGGGCTCCTTGCAGGCCTGGGACGGGGGGATGGGAGCGGGCTAGAGGAGGTTAAAAGGGGAAGAAAGGGGACATATGTAATACTTTCAACGATAAAGAATTATTTAAAAAAAGAAAAAAAGAAAGGGCTCCTTGCTTCCTCTCTATTCTCTGCTCATGAATACAAGCAACTTGAAAATAATGTAGAACTTAAAGCCTAACTGTTTTCTACCCAGGATAAAAAATACTGATAAAGGGACTGTAGTTTTCCCTTTGGCCTTTTTCCTTGAACCACCTCTTATGATTTCTTACATATTCTGATGGCAGGCTCCTAAGGCACATTGCTTGCTTCTGAGCCTCAATAGGCAGGGAATGCAGGATCCAGAAACCTTCGGTGAGTTTACAGCATTGTGTTTTTTCTAGGAGCACTGGAAGCACCTGGATTCCATTCAGAAGGAGCAATACTGGGATCTCATGCTGGAGACCTATGGGAAAATGGTCTCAGGAGGTGAGGGCGTGGGTTAGCCGGATGGAAGGACATGGAAAGGCTGTTAAGCATTTTCTGTGTACTCTTAGCTCCTTGAGGTTCTCTGGGTGAAGACTATCATAGTGACACCATTGGGAACTGGAGTGAACCGCAAATAGCAGAGTTATAGTAACAACTTCCTGGTATTAAACGTGTTCTGTGTACCAGGAACTGTCATGGGTGCACAACATATAGTAGCTCCTTGAAATGGGTCATGATATTCTCATTTTTTAAAAAAAATATATTTTTATTAATTTCAGAGAGGAAGAGAGAGAGAGAGAGAGAGAGAGAGATAGATAGATATGAGAGATAGAAACATCAACAATGAGAGAGAATCATTGATTGGCCGCCTCCTGCATGCCCCCTACTGGGGATCGAGCCTGCAGCCTGGGCTTGTGCCCTTGACTAGAATCGAACCAGTCCGCAGGCCAACGCTCTATCCACTGAGCCAAACCAGGTAGGGCGATATTTTCATTTTTTGTTGTTAATCCTCCACCTGAGGATATTTTAGAGAGAGTGGAAGGGAGAGGGGGAGAGACAGAGAGAGAGAAACATCGATGTGAGAGAGGCACATCAATTGGTTGCCTCAGCATGTGCTCTCTGACCAGGGCCAGGATCAAGCCTGCAACTGAGGTACGTGCCCTTGACTGGAATCAAACCCAGGACCCTTCAGTCCCTGGGCAGACACTCTATCCACTGAGCCAAACCAGCTAGTTCTCTCATTTTTAAAGTGATAAAAGTGAGTGATAGATCAAGTCACTTGCTCACTGTTATGTAGCTCAGGTGCTTAGTTATGAAGGAGCTCAGTTGGGGCTGGCTCTGAATCTATGCTCTTTAATACTTAACCACAGTCTATTGGAGGGGTCTTTGTCATCAGGTGGTCTGACTCTACCTGCCCAGATTCTTCTTGTGGTCTTCACCATTTATCCTGGCTATCTTGTGAGTACTGGTGTCTTAGAAGCTCCAAACAAGCTTCTAAGATGAGCTACCTTAAGTGGTCTCCAGACCTTTCCTATTTCCTCTCTTACCTAGGACACTCCTTGAGAAACAGCAGGTCCCCAGTCCTAGTTCATCAAGGCCCACATGTTATCTCTCTCTGTACAGGCATTTCCAATTCCAAGCCTGACCTGACTAATTCAACAGAGTGTGGGGAAGAACTGGCAGGACTGCACCTGCATGTCAGTGAGAAGATCCCAAGACCCACCTGCAGAGGTGAGTAATCTTTTATTGGTCAGAGCCATTCTTGTCTCCTGTCATTAAATTGGAGGTGGTGGAGATATGTTAGGACTTGGGTTTCTATTCCATTAGTTCGGACTGGCCATGATCTGGTTAGTCTGGTTTGGATCCAGAGGTCAGGTCTTCTTAATCTCTGGTTATGGGGCTGTTGACACACGTAGTTAATCTTGGAAGAAAGAGTACACCTTCAGTCTTATTTGTTGTGACAACTATCTCAGAGAGAGTTAAGATTAGTACAGATTGAGACCAATACAGATATAGGTATAATTCTATTACAGAAAAAGTGTATGAAATAGCCAATAATTATCCTTCCTCTTGTTTCTTTTTTTTTTTTTTTTATACATTTTATTGATTTTTTACAGAGAGGAAGGGAGAGGGATAGAGAGTTAGAAACATCAATGAGAGAGAAACATCAACCCAGCTGCCTCCTGCACACTCCCTACTGGGGATGTGCCTGCAACCAAGGTACATGCCCTTGACCGGAATCGAACCTGGGACCTTTCAGTCCGCAGGCCACCGCTCTATCCACTGAGCCAAACCGGTTAGGGCTCATCAATGTTTCTAACTCTCTATTCCTCTCCCTTTCTCTCTATAAAAAATCAACAAAATATATTTTTAAAAAAATGCTGAAAGAACAAGACCATCAGCCAAGAACTCTATATCCATCAAAACTACCTTTCAAAAATGAAGGAGAAATTATGGCATCCCAGATTTTTTTTTTTTTAAGTGAGAGAGACAGTTCATTACTAGCAAACCAGCCTTACCAGAAATATGAAATGAGTCCTTCAGGATGAAATGAATAGACCCTAGACAGTAACTCAAGTCACATGAAGAAATAGAGTACCAGTAAGGTAATTGCATATCTATCCTATCTAATAATAGACAAACATGGTCCCTTGACCGTACCTTCGCTACGCCTCCCATCGGCTAATCAGTGC